CGTAAAACAATAAATTTAAAATTTAGTATATTTAACCACTTTAAATGATTTTGTCAATCCTAGTAATTTATTTCCAAGGTGTCTTAAATTTTCTAGATATACAATAATTTCATTTAAAAACTTTTATCTGCCTTCTCCCAAATATAACTGGCTGACATGTTTCTGCCTATATCTTTAAGCAGCACCTTTAGAATAGTCTTGATTTAATGGTTAAAGCAGACGTGCACTTAAAAAAAACTAGTGCACGCAGGCACGAGACTGGCTCTCCCTGCAGCATTTTAGGCACCCACGCAACACCCTTTGGTCACGTCCGCCTCGGGGGACCCTCGCCGAGCGGCTGCCCCCTTTGCCTTCTCTCCTCTAACAGCCCCCCACTTCCTTTCCTCAGGCGTCACGGTCTGCTGATAGTTTTAATGAAAATAATGCAGTCTTTCAGTGGTTAGAATGAGATTTGCCCTTGGTTTTGATAAATATATTTGCCTTCCTTAACATTGTTCCTCTATTTCATTTGGCATTTTTATTAGAAATGCCTGCTAAATTGCATTAAATGCCTGAGTGCATTTCTTAATATAGCCATGCGATTTTCCCTTCATAAATGTTCTATGATTTCGAATGACTTTTCATGTTGGAACAAGCCCTATATGGTCACAGTCCTCACGAACGTGCGTGTATCTCATTATCTTAATCATGAATGGGTGTTGTATTTTATCAAATGCTTTTTCTTCATCTATTGAGATGATGATATGGTTTTTGTCCTTGACTCTGTTACTATAGTGTATTACATTAATTGACTTATGAATGTTGAACCATCCTTGCATCCCTGGGATAAATCTGACTTGGTCAGAGTGTATGATCTTGATGACCCTGTGTATTTTGTTTGCCAGTATCTTGTTGAGAATTTTTGCATCTATGTTCATTAGGAAGATTGGCCTGTAGCTCTCTTTTATGGTTGGGTCTTTCCCTGCTTTTGGAATCAAAGTAACACTTGCTTCCAGGAATGAATTTTGGAGTATTGCTTCCCTTTCAATTTCTGGCTGCGAGGCCCAGGTTGCAGTCCCTGACCTCCTGCAGGATTGAACTCTGCAAAGTTCTACTGCAGATTCCAGTTGTCCTCCCCCCTAAGCGAGTCCAGGTTTCTATGGGAGGTGCTGATCCCACCAACTTACCAACCATGGTTGTCCAGTGTGCCTTTATTGCAGAGATTTTCTTCACTTTCCCACTGGGCTTCAGTTTTCATGGAGAAGCCTTAGAGAGGCCCTCTCTCTGTTGTCCACTTCTGCTCTATCTTCTGGGACTCATAACCATGGCCTTTATGGCCCCCAGGCACCTTTGCAGTTCGGATTCAGATACCTCACAGCCCGAGGGGTGTGGACCTGTGAGGAGCGGCTGCTGGCTCTGTTTTACTTTTTTTTTTTTTTAATGTTATGTTGTTAGTACACTTTTAAAGCTGTGTTGTTAGAATATTTCATGGTTGTTTTGGGGGGGAGGATCATGTGTCACTAGCACAGTGTCTCCAAAGCTGGATTGGATTGATAGGGGGAAAGCACCTTTCCCTGCTAGGGTGGGGGTTTTTTTGTTTTGGTTTTTTTTTTTGGTACTGGGAATCAAACTCGGGTCCTTACGCTTGCAAGGCAGGCGGTGGAACCATTGAGCTAAATCCCCAGCCCTCCCTGCTAGTTTTGAGAGACTTCCTCTTGGCTCCCAGGAGGAAGAATTCCCTGATGTTGACACCTGTAGCCACCTTGGCACAAATGCCTTGTGGTGCGGGAAAACTCCCAGTTCATTTGATGTCCTCTTTTCCTCTGCCATCAGTGTAGACTTAACTCCCTTATGCCCAGAGACCTACTGGGACCAGACTCCCAAACATTGATGTTTCCAGTGTGTCAGGCAATCTGAACTTGCAGGTGACGCTCAGATGCTCTCCCATAAGAGCAGTGACTTCCTTTTCTAGATGGTGGATCTTCAGGTTGATAATTCTGCCATTTTCATTTCATTTTCTGAAAGTCAGAGGTGGCTTGTGAAAAGTTAAACAACCTGCTGAACGAGAAGGGTCAACCCTCACCCTAAACTCCCCTACTCAGAGCATCGAGTGAGGACTTCATTGGATTTACAGCGGCTCTCTGATTTTTGGTAGTCCATCCAAGTTTAGTATATGTGCCACCACAGCGAGCACTGGTGGTCCATCCAAGAAGGGAGTTTGAAAGTTGTTGTGTATTATTCACAATTGTGTGCTCATGTCCTGCCTGAAATACCATGACTGTTTATGAAAAGTATCTTTAATAAAGGTGGATACAGTTTGAAAAAAATGTTAAGGCTTTGGTAACTCTTAGGGATGGACTAAATGCAATTTGTATAAAGAGACACGCATGACTGAGGGGTCGGAGGGAATGTTGTGGTTTAGATCGATAATGTCACCCAAAGCCTCATGTGCTCAGAGGCAGGGCTTGGGAAGATGATGGAATTATGGGGGAGCTACAGCTGGCTTGCGGTTAGGAGGTGGGGTCTGATGGGAAGAGGGAAGTCACCAGAAGAGGGGCCTGACGTGGAAGGGCACATCTTCCTTCTGGGCCACTCGCTTCTCTGCTTCCTGACCACCGTGACACGAGCAGCTCTCCTCTGCCCAGGCCCTTCCCTCGTGCCACTCTCGTATTTAGGACAGCTGAACATGGACTGAAACTTCTGAACTCTGAGCCAATATAAACCCCACCTTCTTTAAATTGCAGGTGTTGGGTATTTGTTCCAGCGATGAGAAAGTAACTAAGATATGCAAGGACCCCAAAATGAGCTTTTCATAATGGTGGAGCCTTCGTGGCTTCTCAAAGGTCCAGCCTCTTTTGGTACTGCCTTATTATTATTATTATTATTATTATTTGGTAGTAGGGATCGAACTCGGGACCTTGTGCTTTCGAAGCAGGTGGTGGAACCACTGAGCTAAATCCCCAGCCCTGGTACTGCTTTTTAGGTGTAGGACCCAGGGCCTCAGACATGCTAGGCAAACTCTACTACTGAGCCATAGCCCCAGCCCAAAGCCCACCTCTTAATGTGCACTGGGGATTCCATGTGCAGCACGTCCCTTTGGACAGTCATGTTTATACCACAGAATCCCCTGAAGTGTATCCTTCCACCCTAGGGGACCTGCTTTGCTCTGGATCACTCCACCTTCAGAAAGCCCTCCCTAGCCCACCCCAAGGTGGCAAGAGAGCCCCAGCCCTCCAGGCTACCCTCCACCAGCTGCCTCACACAGACGAGGGCCAGCTCGACTCTTCCGCTTCGTCCCCGTTTCCTGGAGCACATGACCAAGAGCACAGAATGGGCCAGCCCTGAATCCTAGCCATGCTGCAGTCAGGTGAATCCAGAGGCTGTGTGGGTGGACCCAGGCAACAACCACCCTCCCAAAGGACGCTCAGGAGCTGGTCCCCAAAGCTGGGAGAGCTGGGGGTGCTGCTGCAGATGCTGCCCCGGGGTCATGGCCTCTGCTCCTCGCTGTGGAGATGGGACTCATCTAGGAGGATGGAGGACAGGTCTGAACCTTGCTAGGACCCAGGACTCCATCCTGTTCTCACCTCCGCTATGGCCCACGGAGGCCAATGTGGGACAGAACATCCTGATCTCCAAGCAAGCTGTAGAGACCCCAGACAAGAGGGCATGTGCTTGCTTCTCCCTCCCCTCCCGGTCTGTGAGTCTGTTAGCTCTCTGTGACTGCCTGCCTTCGCTCTGGACCGAGCAGTCCTGGGCACTGCCTGTCACCCTCCCCCCTGTCCACCCCAGTCCCTTCCCTGGCGCCCACCCCGAGCTGTCCAGCTCTCTGCCTGCTTCCCGATCACTCTTAAGTACCAGGAGGGCCCAGGTGGTCTGTCCTCACTCACGTCTGCACAGGGCAGGCATGGAGTGTGCCCTGCACAGGGGAGGGAAGGGGCAAGCGCATCCGCTTGGAACCCCCTTGCTGCTCTCCAGTGTGACAGACCACGCCCTCGCCTTCACTCCCAGGGATCCTCGGTGTCCTCCAGAGCTCAGGGACACGACAGATATCTCCCCCAAGCCTGGGAGCCCTGGTGGAGCTAGAGAAAAGCCAGGGGATGGCCAGACGGGGCACATAGAGCTTTCCCTGAACGACTGGAAAGGAGCCGCTTAGAATTTCAGGATTTTTTTTTTTTTAATGAAAAGAGAAGAAAGGAAAAAAAATCAGAAAGCACCAGATGGCTCAACACAAGCAAATATTGGGCCAGTTCTCGTGATCTCCCTCGGGAGACGGGGCTGGAGCGCAGAGCAGGGAGGGACGGCCGGGAACCAGGCGGGACCCAGGCCCCTGAGTCATGCGGGGGCTCGGGCTGCAGGCCACCTGGGCGGGAGCCCGGCTCTGCCGCCCCCAGGTCTGGGGTGCAGCTCCCCTGGGAGGCTTCCCGGGGAGCCCTGCCTGTGCTCGAAGCTGGGGGTCCCTGCCTCCGGCTTTAGCTGTAGGTAAACCCGGGTTCGAATTCCGGGGCTCTGGGTCTGAGGAAAGGTGCTTTCCCGTGTTCGGGAGCCTCGGGCCTCCCCTGTCCAGCCGAGCCCCGCGGTCCTGTGCCGCGGCTCGGGGTCATCCTGCTGGGTGCTGCTCTTTCGCGCTTCGAAAAGAGCCTGGCGCACGGAGGGCGCGCGTTAAGAGCAGGGACCAGGGCGGAGTGCGGGTGCAGGTATCTTGGGGCTGTACAAGGGCCGTGGTAATCCTCAGCCATTACCAGGAAGTGGGTTCCACCACCATCCCCATTTTACAGATGGGGAAGCCGAGGCACGGGGAAGCGCGCGCCTACCCAGGCTTCACCCTCGGCAGTGGGTGACCGGGATCCGGGCCCAGGCGGCTTGCTGCCCCAGCCCGACGCCCCGGCGGCGCAGTCGGGACTGCCGAGCCGCCCCTCGCCAGCTGCGTGGACTCCCGGGCCCCGGTTCCCGCCGTTGCCACGGCAACCGGGGGCCCCACGGGGTGTGGGCGGGCGGGAGCAGGCCCCGCCCCTTCCCCCCGCCCCGCCGGAGCGCTCGCGGCTATAAGGGCCAGAGGCCACGGAGCACGAAGCGCACGGAGCGCCGGAGCAGAGCCAGGATGTGCGGTGAGTGCGGCTGCCCGCGCCAGCCCGGCCCCGTGGGGGGTCTCGGGGCACTGCGGGTGCCCAGCCTCAGGCTCCACCTGGTGGGAGCCGGGCCTGCCCCCCGCGCCCCGAGAAGCGCTGCCTCCGCTCAGCCGAGTCGGCCTCGCTGCGCGCCGGCGCACGGTGCACGACCCGCGCCTCCTCCCGCGGCGCGCACGGAGGGAGGCGGCCCCACCTGCGCCCTCCGCCCGGCTCTGCGCGGCCTGCGGTCTCCTCGCGTGCCGGAACGGCTCCTGTCCGGGAAGCGCGGTTCTGCGTTGACGGCTCTGTGCGAAAAGAGCTCTCAGCGCTCAGTAACTGTCGGGAGCTCGGCGAGGATCGGCTCCGGCGTCCACTCCTGGGCCACCGGAGCTGTCCTGTTCCCCTGCGGGCTGGGGGCGGCGTGGCCGCTGAGCGCACATCTGCAGTTCCTTACGCTTCAGGCTGGGCCGCCTCCGCCGCTACGGCTGCCCGGGGAGCCAGGAACTTCTGCTGGGACAAAAGGTCACTGTGCTTTTTTCTCCGGAGTAGGATTTGGTTACCCACTCCAGTCCCCGGTGGCTGGAGAACCTGGTGGGACTTTTGAAGCAATGAAAGGCGCCTCTCTGACTTCGCTGAGGGCTGCAGGGCGGGGTGTGTCAGCTGTGAGCCCTGGCCAAGGTCTGTACCGGCCTTGTTTTGCAGGCCAGTCGCCTAGGAAAAAGGAATGACTGGCCCAGGAGTGGGCAGCCACTAGGAGAGGCAGCCACCCCGGGGAGCAGGCATCTGTTTAAATTCCTGAAGGCTCGGCCAATCCAAGGCCTTCCAAGCATCACTGACAATGTGTAGGCCGCCCTGGGGTGTTTCTAGGGACAGAGGTTAGCACAGGTGGCAGTTTTGCCGGATCTCAAAGCCCTTCTGAGCTCTTCCGTGCAGCCTTCAAGGCCTTTTACCGCTAGGGGCCTGAGCACCAGATGTGGGCAGGGGGCCTTCCAACTGGAAGAGGCTCCCCTTGGCTCCTGGTCTCAAACACCCCTCTGTGCCCCAACATCCCCAGCTTTTCATCCCGATTCCTTGTTGCCTCTCTCTCCCATGTCTTTCTGAGCTTCGAGGGACTCTACCGCCTCCAAACTCTCAAAATCACAGGTTTTTTTGTTGTTGTTCTGCTTCTTAAAGGGCTACATGTGTGTTATCTCTTTGGGTTGTAACCAACCTGTATGTTCACATCTTTGGGGCTCAGCTTTGCCTGTGTGTGGGAAAGGCTTTGAGGTCACCAGGGGTGTCCAGGGGTCGAGATCAGCCTTGGCCCTTGGGGATGGCCCCTGGGAGCCAGATGAAAGAGGGTGCACTGGACTAGAGGAGCAGGCTCCTGATCTCACTGGTGGGGTGGGGGTGGCTGTGCTTCTCAGCAAGGAGTCACTCAAGTAGCTTCCTCTAGGGAAAGTTGTTTCCTCTTCACGTAGACTCTCAGGAGAAAGTCTCAGCTTAGCGCCACTGTGCCTAACACCTCTCTGACACCTGCCAAGCACCTTTCCCCAGGGCAACTGCCACCAGTTCAGAGCAGGTGGCAGCAGCTGGCTAGACTTGAATACATTGGTCTGGTTTTTTGGATCGTGGACTGCGTGTGTATGGCAAAGGATTCTGGTTTTCCTTCTACGGTTGTTTTCTTTTGTAATGAATTCACCTAAATTTTTGAGAATTGAACTAGTTTTACAGGAAAGTGGAATAACTGTGCTTTTGGTACAAGGATGCAGCAAAAAATGTAACAGTGTTCCCAGAAAGACCTACCTACCATCTTCACTTTACATGGAGGGAAACTGAGGCCCAGAAACTGAGGCACACCGTGTTTGAGCAGGAATTGTTTTATGTCCTTTCCCTGGGCCATGCCTGCCACTGCCATTCAGAGCAACCTTAAGATCAGATCTCCTGGGCCGTCCTGCAGGGGTTAAGACTAAACTCCTTCCTTCCTTATCAGTTGACAGCCATGCTCAGATTATGTCTTTGCTGCTCTTCCTACAGAAGCCCCGGACCTGACAGTAGTTGATCCTCCATAGTCGGAGCAGATGCACCTCAGAAACTTCTAGTATGTTAGAGTAGCTGGAGCGACTCATAGGGGCCTGTGTTCGGATTTGTTGATAAAGGTGCTGGAGTTCAGTTGACTGTCCCCCAGTGGAGAATTTACTAAACTCCCTGCTCCCTCCCTCCCTTCCTGCTGTGGAGAGGCCCTGTCTCCCAGCCCTTCAGTTTCATAGTTCACACAGGTGTGTTCCCCGCTCCAGGAAGGGGCAGGTGAATTAGGGGCTGGGGGTCAGTCAGAGACCCATAACAGTGAAGGTAAATCTGCCACAGAAGCGAGGCCACAGAAGCGAGGCCACAGTAGCCTGGCACTCTGGGGCCACCACGCAGACAGACCTTTTTGTTTGATAACATAGTTTAAACATTTTTTAATTAGTTGCCAAAAACAAAATTAGTTACCAAACTACAAAGTGGGGAGAATTGACATCAGTGGAGTTTTTTTACTTTTCCTGAAAAAAATCTGAGGATCATCCTGAGATCCTTAGTCAGTATTAAATAGTGCGTGGAGGTCCACTCCACTCCCTCCCCGTACAGAGAGAGGGTAGCGGCGTGCCAGGCTGGAGGTGCTGCACTCTTCAGCCTCTGCTCCGTGGGCACAGTGCCTCCTTCCCTTATCAGATCTCCTGTGCCTCCTTCCTGAAGGACACTTGTTTTAGCAGTTTGGTTGTTTTTAGGGTTTTCAGATTATCCAGGATAATCTCACAGTTTAGGGTCCTTAATTTACTCTCATCTAGAATGACCTTTTCTCACAAAAGGCAGCCGTTACGGATTCTGGGGATAAGAACCTGATATCTTTGAGGGTTCTCCTGCAGTTGGATTGTGACTTTCGTGTTCCTTCCTCCCAAATAGTCTAGTGTTGTGAATCCCGGACGCATGAGTCTTGGCCTTGAGCATCTCAGGCAAAAGTCCACCAGCATCCCCTCCCACGCATACCCACCCCAGTGAGAAGGTGACTGTAGGCCTGAACTGCACACCCCTGTGTCTTAGTCACTTTCCCATTTCTGGGGCACAGTAACCCAATACCCACAACTTAAAGGAGGGGAGAGCCACAGTCAGCAGGCACCAAGTCAGAAGCAGATGGTGGAAGACATGGCAGAGGAGAGCTGCTCATCTCGTGGCAGCCAGGAAGCAGAAAGAGGGGAAGGAAGGAAGAGCCCTCCCAAGTCATGCGCAGTGACCCACCTCTTCCGACCAGGCCCCACCTTCTAATAGCACCCTCGGCTGTGAACCCCTCAGGGGACTAATGCACTGATGAGCACAGCACCTCAATGGTCCAGTCACCTTCCAGAAGACCCCCGAACACATGAGGTGCTGGCGGGACATTCTAGACCTAAACCATATTACCCTCCTTCACTGGCACTGTGCCACAGGCCCAGGAGGCTCAGACAGACTACAGTTTCTTTAGGATTCAGCTGCTGTGTCACAGGGCCATGCCATTCCCGGATCTTGCCCTCCTTGTGTGTACCATATTCTTCTGTTCATCATTTCTTTGCAAGAAGCAAGGTTTTTCTCTTAGAACCAAGAGGCCAGAGACACACGTGTGCATACCAATACACATACACGAGTGTGCACGTGCACAGTCTGTCGACTTGCATAGTAGTCGTTTGAGCGAGCTCATCGAGGACTTAGTGTGGACTTGCCTTTTGTCTCAGCTGGGATAGAGCTCCTATACTGTGACAGCTTGGGAAATGGCAACCCAGGGAGATTAAATGGCTCAGATGAGGGCTTATGTTTCCCCTCCTTCTTCCACCTCTCCAAATCTCATCAAATATGACGTCCTCTCTCCCTTGGAGGGAAGTGTCATCTCCTGTGAGGATAAGAGTTGAGGATACAGACTCTGGGACCTGGGTGCACGGTAGCTAGGGTTCTCCAGAGAGCAGCACCAGACAGCATGAGTATAGTTACTCAAGAGGATTAACCAGGGAGGCTAGCAGGATCAGCTCGGGGAGTGTCCGTAGTGGCTGTCCCTGTGGTCAGAGGCAAGAGAGTCCTCAGTGGCCATCGGCACACCGGAGGATCAGAGGATCCAGGAGCTGCTCAGCCCAAGGAGATGGGAGCCGAAGAACAAGGGGGGGGGCAGCATCAGTCCCAGGTCGAGGGTCTGGAAGCTCCCTGGAGAGTTGCCAGTGCACGCCTGCGTTAGAGTCTGAAGAAACTGGAGGCGATGTCCAAAGGCGATGGCAGAGCTCTTCCAAAACCAGCGTGCGTCCTTCTTTCCCCTGTTCCCCGTACCGGCCCGGCCGCAAGCCTGCTGGTCAGGCCCACTCACATCCAGCGTGGATCTTCCCCACCCGATTTGTTGGCCTGCGTGTCAGTCACCCACAGGCACACCGGCACGGCCCCTGACCTGCTGGTATTTCTTGACCGACTCAAGGTAAGTGCGTGATGAATGGCCACAGGGCGCTTGGCTTGTTCTCTCCCCACGCCCCGCAGCCTCGCCCAGGTGAAGTCTCCTCCCCGGTGGTGTGCTGAGTAGTGGGCTCTCCGCCTGCTTTGCCGATTGCTGTGGTGCCAGCACTCTCGCCGTGCTGGTTTCAGGTTGTCAGTGTGAGGCCTAAATGTGGGGTTTTGAACAGTACACAGTTGGTTCCCAGAGGCTGCGACCAGCAGCTCCTGCGGCACACAGCTGCCTCCTGCAGAGTGAGGTTCGCGCCCTGGGATGGAGGGATTGCCCTTAGCAGCCTGCTGGTCAGGGGCGCCTCGGTGCTGGCCGCCCCCCTCCTTCCAGCTATGATATGCTCCTCCATTGGCCACTTTTATCTGTCGGGGGTTTCCCATATTCGTAGGAACTTCTGGAAATTTTATGATATGGCAGGACCTAGTTAACACTGATTTTAAATGGAGAAACTTTTTTTATTTAGCAAAAATAGCTTGTAAGAGAAATTAACTTGAGGTTACACACAATTTGGGAGAAAATTCTAGATGAA